CATCCCTGCCATTGTTTGCTGGGCATTGAAGAGGAACTTGGACTTGCTGCAAAGTTTATCTGCTCAGGCGGTGGTGACTACTCATAATTGCCATCGCTTCCAGGCTCAGGGGTCCGCCAGCCCAAGTTTTATGTAGGAGGGATCCCCGCCCAGATCTCCCTTTAATGTGGCCAAAATATGAACTCAAATCTTTTAACAGATAAAGATGACCCACCATTGAAATGGCGGTGGTCTGGGTTCAGGATACCCACTTGGTAAAACCTGTTCTGTCTCTTTCCAACTCATTAACCTCGTTGTCACGCTCTCCTTTCCCCGTTATAGCTTTTAAGCGATGGGGGAGGGCTGACAGTCTCAAAGATTAAAAATGTGATTGAATCTGAGCCGTGGACCGGGCGCAAATTGAAAGTATTTTGTTCAAGAAGGTCATGAGTAGGCGTTATCTGCACCGAAGTGGAGCCAGGAGCAGGTGGAGCCTGGTGGGGTCTGCCCCCCACCCCAGCACGCACGCCCTGGGAGGTTCCCCCAGGCTAGGGCAGGGCAGAGCCCGGCCCCCTCCATGGGTCCAGCATGTCCTCTGCTGCCATGTTCCCCCTCGACTGTTACGGTTGGAGGGATACCGGTTGGAGATCAGCGTCTTGGTGTGCAAGCAAAGTGGGGAGTGAGGAGAGAGATGATTGTGGCTGAAAGGCTGTCCCTTCCATGAATCCACGTGGATCCCTCAGCGCGGCCGTACCTGGCAGAGGGGCTGCCCTTCCACCATACCCCAAGTTCCCCCATCAGCCTGACGCAGGCCAGAAGGGGTGCTAGCCACACACTCCTCGATTGCCAGTGACTTTCGGTTTATGCATTTTGAATACTGAACTCAAACATATTCTCCATTCGACTTCAGATTATTTTCTAAAGATAGTTTTTTTAAAGCTTTAAACCATCACCCCACCACCCATCATCACCACCACCAACAACAACGAAAGTAATAAATTAATAAAAATAATAAAAAGCTGGGACTTCCCTGGCGGTCCAGTGGTTAAGACTTCAGCTTCCAATGCAGGGGGTGCGGGTTCAATCCCTGGTTGGGGAACTGAGATCCCACATGCCTCGGGGCCAAAAAAACAGAACATAAAACAGAAGCAGTGTTGTAACAAATTCAATAAAGACTTTAAAAATGGTCCACATCAAAATATCTTTAAATAAATAAATAGCTTTAAGCTTCTGTACATCATTAATTCACTACATGGGAAGATTTGGTCACAGTAGATAAAGACCCATGTCGTGGACTACCCGTGTCGTGGACCCATGTCAGGAGCCAGACTCCTGACCCCAGGCTGTTCTGAGAACATGTTTCCCTCAGAAGCATCGGGTCCCTACTGCATGGCACAGCATCCTACATATGGGATGTGTCTGAAATTTGGAATCACTCTCCATCCCCTCCTCTGCCTGCATCTCCTGTTCACCCAGAAGTTGGGCCAGAGCTAAAAATAGGCGCCACAGGGCTTCCCTGGTGGCACAGTGGTTGAGAGTCTGCCTGCCAATGCAGGGGACACAGGTTCATGCCCCGGTCTGGGAAGATCCCACATGCCACGGAGCGGCTGGGCCCGTGAGCCATGGCCGCTGAGCCTGCACATCCGGAGCCTGTGCTCCACAACGGGAGAGGCCACGACAGTGAGAGGCCTGCGTACTGCCAAAAAAAAAAAAAAAGTAGGCACCACATATACCCTGAGAAAACCATAATTCAAAAAAGTCACATACCACAATGTTCATTGCAGATCTGTTTACAATAGCCAGGACATGGAAGCAACCTAAGTGTCCATCGACAGAAGATATGGCACATATATACAATGGAATATTACTCAGCCATAAAAAGAAACGAAATTGAGTTATTTGTAGTGAGGTGGATGGACCTAGAGTCTGTCATACAGAGTGAAGTAAGTCAGAAAGAGAAAAACAAATACCGTATGCTAACACATACATATGGAATCTAAGAAAAAAAAAGGTTCTGAAGAATCTAGGGGCAGGACAGGAATAAAGGTGCAGATGTAGAGAATGGACTTGAGGACACGGGGAGGGGGAAGGGTAAGCTGGGACCAAGTGAGAGAGTGGCATGGACATATATACACTACCAAACGTAAAACAGATAGCTAGTGGGAAGCAGCCGCATAGCACAGGGAGAGCAGCTCGGTGCTTTGTGACCACCTAGAGGGGTGGGGTAGGGAGGGTGGGAGGGAGACGCAAAAGGGAGGGGATATGGGGATACATGTATAGCTGATTCACTTTGTTTTACAGCAGAAGCACACCGTTGTAAAGCAATTCTACTCCAATAAAGATGTTAAATAAATAAATAAAATAAAAATAGGCACCAGAGTACAATTTTTCAGATAATGTCTAATCCATGAGGTACCAACAGTCTGCTCTTGGTTTAGCTATGTGGGATGCTTGTTTTTCAGAGTCTGTATTGCATCATTCCTGGCTTCATTAAACAGAGCATCATGAACATATATCACTTTCTTCAACAATTCAGGGTCATCCCTGGAACCTCCAAAATGGCGCTAAGCCATGATGCCATGGTCCCCTTGAAGCGTGGGAGGCTGTCTGCTTCCCTCTGCATGCTGGTCTCCCCTGTTCACATCTCAGTAGGTTGCTGCCCAGCATCACTCCAGGCAGCAGGCAGCCAGGCTGGGCCTCTTCCCCACCCGACCCCGGCAGGCACCCGCCTCACCAGAGGTGCCCAGACCCTCCCTGGTCCAGTGCGTGCCCGTTCCCAGGCCTCAATGGCCTTTGCTATCTGAGCTGGGAAACCAAGTACCATCCGTATTAGAAAGATACATCAAACAAAAGAAACAGACTTGAGAGGGGGCTGGGATAGGGGGGGATCCTGTGGGTGTGAAGCCTCCGGGTGGCAGTTCTGACTCCTAGTGACCTTTCCATGCATCCCTTATCGGTCACTGACATGCTCCAAGACGATTAAGCTTGCGTGACAAGAAAGATATACTTGTTTCCTTTCGTTTTGCTTTTCTCCCTCACACCTCACAATTTTAGTTTCTTGAAATAAGGCCTGGAATTGTGACTTTTCCTTTAGGAGAGGAGAGAGAATGCTAACTACTCAGCTGACGGTCATGGCTTTCATCTGCTCTGGGAAGAGAGTTTCAATGAATGGGCTTCTTATGATAGAATATTTTTCAACAATGGTGAAAAACAAAAATGAGTAAACCCCAGCCATCCATCAGATGACTTTTTTTTTTTTTTTTTTTTTTT